GATTAAGAGAAGCAAATGCATTATAGAGCTTGCAGTAAAAAGCTCTTTAGTGGTAGTGTAATTTACTATTAAAAAATCTCATCAAATAGAATATTTTATTTCTGAATATTGTACAGTTATAGGATCTTGAGCTTGGAAAAGACCTAAAAGTAATCTCATCCAACTGTTCTTCTTCATCAAGGGACTTCTTTTGATTTCCTAAATACTGAATTGAAATTCCATTGCAATCGTCCTCAGTTGCCAGACTGTGAAATTGGTATTTCCTCATTTAGACATTATCAGAATATATGGTGGCCCTCTGTGCATAGATATATACTGTGTGTGTGAATTCATTAAGAATATTAATTGCAGAAAAAGTCACTAGATGATCTTTATATCCCTTTCAACCCTGAGAATCAGTGATTTAAATTGCTAGCTTTACTAACATATTTACATACTACGTAAGGCAAAAAGAGGCTGCACAACATGATTCTTCTGTATAAATATTTGGTTTATTAATTTCTCATTAACCCAGAGTATTTAATCTTCTACATCTAATAAATTCCTACCCATTAATTGCTTAATGCCAAACACACCTTTGATTTTTACTTAATGACTAATACATTCTAATAGCATCCCCTCTGTTGAACTCTTATAGAACTTTACCCCCAATGTTGTTACTTGTATTTTTATGTATATGTATATATTTTTTCTTTTCAGTTAGATTGAAAAGACCTTAAGGACAAAAATGGTTATATTTTTTAAAAAATCCTACCACGTACTTAATACAGTGAAAAGCTCATACACAGCAGACCACATCTATTTGTTCGGTGGTGGAATTGGAGTCCTCAGATACTTGAAAGTTAAAAAGGAACACTTTTTCCTTGTATATGAAATCCTGTAGGTAAATTTTAAACAGCTCAGGAGAGAAATATCAAGCTCAGTGGATATTTCAATTAATAAGATGGAAAGATGAGATACAAGAACATTAGGTAAGACAAAAGCATGTGGAAATTGTAAATGGGTACATGTTAACTAAAAGGTAGCGACATTTCATTAAACAAAACTATTACTGTCAAAAGAAAATCTTAAGGAAAAATACTACCATGGTACCGGCAAATTTGGAAAGAAGAACCTTTGTTACCAAAAGTCGAATTAAAACATTGTTTATAAATTACGGCTAATGATTCATTTTACTCTTTTTGAAATACAATTACTTCTTACCGAGATGCAGAAAATGTGACTGCTAGACACAGCTTTGTACTAATTGCCAGTATAAACTGTGGACAAATCACTTAACCCTATTGGAACTACTTTTTCATTTTAGAAATATATGAGAGCTGGACAATTTGTTTCTAAGATTGCTTCCAACTTTAACCTTATATTCATCTGAAGATTTGTAGTTAAGACTTTCCCATATATTATATCATTTTATCATCTCAACAGCTTTGGAAGGAAGGCCTAGAAAGCATTATTATTTTCCTTCTACTAATGAAAAAAATAGGCTCAGGCATTACCCAAGCCTGCTATGTAGTAGCCCAGTACTGCTCCCAAGCTAACTCCCAAGAATCCTCTCTCTGAGAATAAGTATACAATTCATCTTGAAAATGTCTTATTTTTCTCCATTTCAAAACTAAGTTTTAAAAAAGTAGGCTCTCAATGATAAATGTAAGCTTCATAATGTTAAAATGGTATGAACTTTTACATCTGATGGTTGAGCTAGGGATAGCCAATAAGATTCAATGCACATATCAACTCCTATTAATTGGTAGTAGCTGCCTCAAGTGCTATGCTAAGAATAATTCTGAGGCCAAGGTGGGTTCAGTGGGAAAGTGAGCCATGTTAGATTAACCATGAACACTGTGGATGATGGAGAGAGGAGTGGTGGCAGAATTACTTATAGGGGAAAGGGCCTTTTATATATATTTTTAATGTTTATTTATTTATTTATTTATTTGAGAGAGAGAGAGAGAGAGAGAGAGAGAGAGAGAGAGAGAGAGAGAGAATGAGCAGGAGAGGGGCAGAGAAAGAGAGGGACACACAGAATTCAAAGCAGGCTCCAGGCTCTGAGCTGTCAGCAGAGATCCCAATGTGAGGCTTGAACTCATGAACTGTGAGATCATGACCTGAGCTGAAGTTGGACGCTTAATTGACTGAGCCACCCAGTCACCTCAGGAAAGAGCCTTTTATTTTTATTTATTTTTTATTTTTTTAATATAATTTATTGTCAAATTTGTTTCCATACAACACCAAGTGCTCATCCCAACAAGTGCCCTCCTCAATGTCCATCACCCACCCCTCTCCCCGCACCTCCATCAACCCTCAGTTCATTCTCAGTATCCAAGAGTCTCTTATGGTTTGCCTCCCTCCTGCTCTGTAAATTTTTTTCCCCTTCCTTTCCCCCATGGTCTTCTGTTAAGTTTCTCAAGATCAACATATGAGTGAAAACATAAGGTATCTTTCTTTCTCTTCCTGACTTATGTCACTTCACATAATACCTTCCAGTTCCATCCACATTACTACAAATGGCCAGATTTCATTCTTTCTCACTGCCAAGTAGTATTCCATTGTGTATATAAACCACATCTTCTTTATCCATTCATCAGTTGATGGACATTGAGGTCTTTTCCATAATTTGGCTATTAGTGCTGCTATAAACATTGGGGTTCATGTGCCCCTATGTATCAGCACTGCTGTATCCCTTGGGTAAATTCCTAGCAGTGGTATTGCTGGGTCATAGGGTAGTTATATTTTTAATTTTTTGAGGAACCTCTGCAGCACCAGTTTGCATTCCCGCTAACAGTGCAGGAAGGTTCCCATTTCCCCACATTCTCGCCAGCATCTATAATCTTCTGATTTGTTCATTTCAGCCACTCTGATGGTATGAGGTGATAACTCAGTTTGGTTTTGATTTGTATTTCCCTGATGAGGAGTGATGTTGAACATCGTTTCGTGTGTCTGTTGGCCTTCTGGTTGTCTTCTTTGGAAGAGTGTCTATTCATGCCTTCTGCCTATTTCTTCACTGGATTATTTGTTTTTTGGGTATGGAGTTTGCTGAGTTCTTTATAGGTTTTGGATACTATCCCTGTATCCAATATGTCATTTGCAAATATCTTTTCCTATTCCATCAGTTACCTTTTAGTTTTGTTGACTGTTTCCTTTGCAGTGCAGAAGCCTTTTATCTTGATGAGGTCCCAATAGTTCATTTTTTATTTTAATTCCCTTGCTTTTGGAGATGTGTCGAGTAAGAAATTGCTGTGGCTGAGGTCAAAGAGGTTTTTTCCTGCTTTCTCCTCTAGGGTTTTGATGGTTTCCTGTCTCACATTCAGGTCCTTCATCCATTTTGAGTTTATTTTTGTAAATAGTGTAAGAAAGTGGTCTAGTTTAATTCTTCTGCGTGTTGCTGTCCAGTTCTCCCAGTACCATTTTTTTAAAATGTTTTTGTTTATTTATTTATTTATTTAAAAAAAAAATTTTTTTTTTCAACGTTTATTTATTTTTGGGACAGAGAGAGACAGAGCATGAACGGGGGAGGGGCAGAGAGAGAGGGAGACACAGAATCGGAAACAGGCTCCAGGCTCTGAGCCATCAGCCCAGAGCACGACGCGGGGCTCGAACTCACGGACCGCGAGATCGTGACCTGGCTGAAGTCGGACGCTTAACCGACTGCGCCACCCAGGCGCCCCTGTTTTTGTTTATTTTTGAAGGAGAGAGAGACGGAGCCTGAGCGGGGGAGGAGCAGAGAGAGAGGGAGACACAGAATTTGAAGTAGGCTCCAGGCTCCGAGCTGCCAGCACAGAGCCCGTCCCAGTACCATTTGTTAAAGAGACTCTTTTTTCCATTTTCCACTTAGTAACGTTTTATGAAGTCCGATATTTAATTGCCTTATATCGAGTTTTATAACTAGTATTATCAGAAAAGTTTAATTGACTCGTGTCATGAATGTTTTCATAAATAATGGTCTCCTTTTTAAAAAAAAAAGGTTTCCTTAAGGTTCTTAGTTTGTAACTACAACTGAAAGAATGTAGAGGGTGCTTCTAGCTAGAGTTTTAATGAGATGCAAGCTTGATCTGAAAACTTAAAGATTTATATAAATTTATATAGATATATACACATGAGCACACATTGACATGTTTATATTTATTATATTAATTTGTATTATATTAACATAATAATATCAAAGTTATAATTTAGGTAATAAATATATGGGTAGTAAAAACTAATATTCTCTGGGTCATTCAATATAAACACGTGTCAAAAGGCTCAAGTGAAGTTAAAGATATTGTGAATCAATATCACTTATTGGCTGGCTGCCATTTATTAGCTGTCTGATGGTTGCTCTTCATCTTTTACAGTGATAGATGCTTTACACGCTTCTCCTGTAAAAAGTATTGCACACTTTACAATATTTTTTAAAAGTTATGTTTGATTATTTCCTTTCAAGCGATGAACACCTATACCTTAGGGAAATTTAGTAATCATCCAGGATGATACAGCTGAGAATGTTGTGAGGCCAGAATTTCAACCAAGTTTTGTCAGGTTTCAAAGTTCTTACAAAATCAGATCGTGTCTTGCTGAAGTTTGAGGGCACAGATGTTTCCCACTGATGGTCTGTTCTACGTGTATCTGATGACAACATCAGATTTTGGTTTTACTGTCTTTACTTATACAGCTTTAGAAGAGAAAATGGGGGGCATACTAAAAAGGAGAACCATTATTTCCAAGTATTTTTCAATGTGATGGCAACGAGTTGTTTTTCTGTAAAGTGTCATATTTTGTCTAGTAAGCACTGGTCTGGGTTTGGAGAATGTATCTCAACTGAGACAAAAACTTCCCTGAAGGAATTTTATTGTTGGGGAAATATACATGGATTGTACTTTCGTGCTATTCATGAACTTCAGTTCAGTTCAGAACTTGTGATTTGGCAAAAATATATTATTTTATCAGCAGAAGCATGTAAAATGGGCATAACTTAACTCAAGCCATAAATGTAATTGAGAATGTCATTTTCTTTTTTCCAGGTTCCTTGGTGTTACTCAGTTTTCGCCTACACATGCCAGAAAGGCATTTCCTTGTTTTGATGAGCCAATATACAAGGCTACTTTCAAAATTAGCATCAAGCATCAAGCAACCTATTTATCTTTATCCAATATGCCAGTGGAAACTTCCGTGTTTGAGGAAGATGGATGGGTTACGGATCACTTTTCACAGACCCCTCTCATGTCTACATATTATTTAGCCTGGGCAATTTGCAACTTCACATACAAAGAAACTACCACCAAGAGTGGGGTTGCAGTAAGTATTTTAAACTTAAATATGTTTTTAGATACTGTATACACTGTATAGTAATCTGATTTCTGGATTAACAGTTAATCATTTTTATCCTCTTTAAATCTTATGTAGCTGAATTCTTTTGTTAACCGTTAGGGGTAAATTTCAAAGAGTCAGAGAGGACTGTTTCTTCCATACCCAGCCCTTTTTATCCCATTTACCACCTCTCCCACCTCCACCATCCCTGTCCCTCTTCATCTTCTGAGTATTTCTGAAACATCTGTTGTTTGTTTTGGGGAAGTTGCTTGTCTTTACTTATATGACTGGGAATCCTGCTGCCTTTTATTGTGAAATATTTCAGATATCCAGAAAATGGAAAGAATAATACAATAAACTCCACATGCCTACTTGCTGGCTCTAGAGAATCTGAACATTTTACCATCTTTGCTCTAGTCTTATTTAGTTTTTGAGAAAGTAAAACACTTTGGATAGAGTTGAAGTCCTCTGTGTACACCTGCCTGATCTCATTGCCTTGCCTCCTCCCTTAGAGATATCTCCTGTCCTGAGTTTGATGTTTGCCATTTCTGTGCATGTTACCATATGATTATCAAGTATGTATATATATTTCTCTATATATGGATGCAATGCTTTACACTTTCATATAAGTGGTTTATATTATACATAGTTCTGCAACTTATTTTTATTTCATTTTAGTTTTTACCTAAAGTTATGATTTGTGGTTTATCTGAATAGATTGTTTGAATGAAGATATCAAAATTTGTCATCCTCCTGTAGACAAACATTTTAATGTTTCTGGTTTTCAAATATTAACAACAATGCTTAGTGAATATTTTGTACATGAATTCTTCTGCAAGTGTGCTAGAATTTCTGTAGGGTATAAAGCTTCTCTTAGTCTGTAACACCCAAGTGTATAGAAATACGTTCTTAGGGGAGCATGATATATAGGAAACCTAGAAAATTCATGCTCTGCATTTAATTTATAAAAGGAATCAATTGGACTCTGCATGATAACTATCATTTGTGACAGCATGGTGTTCTAAGCATTTTTTTGCATACTATTGTGTTGTACTAGTCGGGCCAGGTCAGGCCATGCTGAATTAACAACTTCCTCCTCATTTCAATGGCTTACACAATAAATATGCATCTGTTTTGATTTTTATGTCACCCCTAAAGCAAGGTATTATGATTCTCTTTTTCTGGATGAATAAAGTAAATTGGGGTTTAAAGAGATTAAGTAGCTTACCCAGAGTCAAAAATTAAACAAGGGGTAGAGCTGTAAGACAAACTTTTGTTGGTCTGATCCCAAATTTTGGGCTTTCCCTCCTTGTGCCTTAGGAACTCTGTTTCATCATTTCAGCTGTATGTCTGTGAAAGAATCCAAGCAATGATTCTCCCCATCCACTGGCCATTGTATTCAGTGTTGCTTAAATGTAACAAAAGAGGTGAATAGAAATCTATACTCTTATTCTGTAAGAAGTTCATAGGTCTATAACAACCTAAACTTTGAAAAATGGGTTTATATAAATAAATTTTTCTCAGGGTTATTTTAAATATACATCACTGTGGAACCTATTTAAAAAATAAAATCAGCCTGCATAAAAAATTAATGCCATTATTGAAGAGCTGCGTATAGTGAATTAATCTACATAATCATTAAAATTAGGTCCTAAATGCTGGCTCTGGAGGGCCAGAAGACATTTTACTCTTTTGGATTTATACTCATTTGTTATGTTGAGTTCCTCTGATGTTTGTTGATGATTCCTTCAAGGCTGTTCATCTTGGACCACACACAGAAAAGGAACACCAAGACATCTCGTTTACTTTGACGTCTTCAAAAGTTGATGATTGGCTTGCTGTGCATCAGCTTGCAGCACAGGGCATACTGGAACTGTTTTCTTCCAGTATGTTTTCTTTAAAGCATCTTAAAAGTATTCTCAGCCCTACACAATTAAGCTTGTTGCTAAGTGACCCATATTTAAAACCAGACACACTCTAATTATTTAGATGTGACTTTTATTAGAGTTAAGAATCCAAGTAATTAGTAAACATTTTAAAATTCCTACTTAATAATTTTTATGTAGAAAAGATAAAACATGCTACCAGAGAGCATGAAAGGGTCAACTGAAATAAAATTTTAGATTGTATAATCTAAAAATACTAAGGATAATAAAAAGGAAAACAAAATTGCCCCTGGGAACCCCTATTTATCAACTGTGGAAATACAGTTTAAAACCTGCTTCTTTTTTTCCTGTCACCCCTTGGATATCCAGTTTATTTTATCTTCACTGCATGAAGGAAAATAAGCACATAGTAATCACATTTCTGAACTCTTAACAGCTGGAAGGAGTGAAGTTTAGCCTTAAGATCTTGAGTGTGGAATAGTCATGTGAAGTCCACGTGGTCATTTTGGATCAGAAGCTGATGCAGTTTTCTTTGAGATATGAAAGAGTAACTTGAGCAGCATCTTAATAATTTACAGCTGAATCGCAACAGTGCCTGAAGTGTGATCTTTGAAGCATCATCATTTGCTTCTCAAGTTGTCTGCATTTTGCAAGGCACTATCCTAAGTAATTAGAAGGGTAAAAGACTCTTAAGATCCTTCTAGTACAATGGTCACATGGTGCATCTTTCAGATGGAATTCAAGCTGGTGGACGTACTTTGTTTACCCATCTCCAAAATGGCTTAGGATTTCTGTAATTAATTGTTGAAATTTAGAAGTAGAGAGATTGCACATAAAATTGCTTCTGGCTTCTCTTGAACAATGGCAAGATCTTGTGACATTGGGCTCACTTCCCACTTGGCAATAATGGTTCACTCATTTATTCCTTCAGCAAATATTTACTGATTGTCAGGTAGTCTAGACTCTGTTCTAGGCTTTGGTGATATAGCAGCAAACAAAGCAACAAAGTTCCTACTCTCAGGGAACTTGCATCCTAATATGGAGAGAGTGACAATAAACAAATAAATGTGTGTCAGGTAGTAATATTTGTTTTGAAGAAAATCAATGTGCTGTACCTGGATGGTGGCTGACTCATTTACATGGCACATTTGCTTTCCAGTGTAACCTAATCCAGACCACTTTTGTTCTTTTGCATTGTGTCAATTTCACTATCATAGATTACCTGCTTTCATTCTGCAGGCATTTGGAGTTTCAACCCTTGTCTAGGGGCATAATTCAAGAGACTAGCCAAGGAATATGTGCCAGAAAAGCAATAAATCAACTAATTGTGAACTAGTGATACTGGCATTCACTAACTGTGAAAGGAAAGTTGCAGAAAATAAGTTCAAGACCATTTAGAAGAGGGAGAAATTGCTAAGGTTGGAGTCTAATGATGTGCTTCCTAGAAGAGATAGGATTTAATATGACTCTGAATAAAGGTTTGGTCTTAGAGAAGCAGATGATGTGTGCATATAATCCTTGGTAGGAAATGTTAACTAAGAAAAGACAAAGAGGTAGGGATATGTACAGGATATCTATGGGAAATAGTGTATGGTTATTATGGTCATAAACATCAGAACTTCTGCTGCATTCTAATGGTTACAGATAAGTCACTAAGGATGGTTCTGATTTGCTAGAAGAGGGCATATATCCCACTTCTTGATAGGGAATGTCAGAGCATTTGTAGACATAGTTTAAAATCAGTAAAGTCTTCTCTCTGACCACAAATTATTTATATTCATCCCACATACAAAATACAATCACTCATTGCATTACATTATTAGTCTAAAGTCTGAGGTCCAGGATCTCAACAGCTAATTTAGGTCTAGGTGTAGATGAGACTATTGGGGTTTGGTTTCTTGTGCATGGTTTCTCTTGCTCTGAAGATCTGTTTACTAAAGAGACATGTTATCTATCTTCTCTCCCCCAACAGACAATGATAAGATGGGAATATTATTATTTCAATAGAACTTTCCATTCAAGAATGGAGAAAATGGGAGGACATAGCAGTTGCTGGTCCATAGCAGTTCTGAAATCCAATTGGGAACATGTTGGCAATTTTAAAATTATGACTCAATGCTGAATTGTCCTTCTGGGAAGTTGGCCCATCATTTGGACTCTCAGTTTTGCTTTTTAAGGCATCTTTTCTTTTTAAATGAAAAATTAGTCTGTGTTCGAAATTGAATAGCTTTCTCAGCTTGCTTCCTATCAGTAAAAAGCTGGGGGTCCAAAGGCCTATTTTTCTTTTGTCAAAAGAAAGTCAAAAAGTCAAAAAAGGTATAATTATTTTTTTAAAACTTGACTTATTGTGTATCAAGTTATATCTATTCCGTTAGACAAAACTATACCACAGGTCTCTTTAATATGAGCCTTTGTTTACTGTGAGGCTTTGCATAATAATTCTCATAACATTCTTGGATGCTCTATTACTGAACAGAGGTTTATAAGGAACACACTTAAGGTCCTTAGAAAACATTTGTTTTGGAGCAGCTGGGTGTCTCAGTCGGTTGAGTGATCAACTCTTGATTTCGACTCAGGTCATGATCTCATGGTCATGGACTGGAGCCCTGCGTCAGGCTCCACACTGAGCTGAGTGCGTGTGTGTGTCTGTGTGCACATGTGTGCGTGTGTGCTCTCTTTCATTCTCAAAATAAATAAATAAACTTAAAAAAAGTTTAAGACTTTTGTCTTTTTGAAGAGGTCTGAGGAGCATCACTTTAAAAGTATCTGACATCTTAACAGTTCCTGAAGTTGCATCCTTGGCTTCATCTTTAGATCACATTTTGCTAAAAGTGACCTGTATTTCTGTCACCACCCCCCTGGCCCCGCCCCGCCCCAGAGTCCATTTCTTACTTTGAGAATCTTTCACCATCTGGAGAAGCCGAGAAGGAGAAAGAGTTCTAATTTCAAGCTCAGTAAGTCCTAGCTCTTTCCTATTCCACATTTTACTTGGAAACTAGACAGTTTGTTCTTTTTTTTTTTTTTTTTCAACGTTTATTTATTTTTGGGACAGAGAGAGACAGAGCATGAACGGGCGAGGGGCAGAGAGAGGGAGACACAGAA